GACTACAGGGCAGTGTTTCATATACAACACTGGCAGGGATGAACACTGCGGTCAGATTTTCATTGTTTTCTCGTTAGCTGTGAAACGGATCACTACAGCTAACGTCAGGACAGAATCGCTAATGAGTAAAAGCCAGTCCGATATTCTCCGACAGCGTCGTCTTCAGTCTCTTCTTAGCCTCTGCCGTGATGTCCATTCTGGGAATACCGAGCTGCTTCTTCTTGTAGCTGCTGAGTTGTTGGTGTGACGTGGTGCCGTAAAGCGCTACCCAGTTCGGCGAGAGGTTCTGGTGCTGCTCCTCCAAAGTTACATAGCGCTATAGCAGGAATTCCAGCCCGGAGTGGCAACAACAGAGACGCCGCTCTCACTAATATAAGTGTAGCATCAAAATGATTTTGAGGCTGAATTTTTAAGGTAAACTCGTTACATAATGTTGCCTAAAATAAATGAAGCGTGGTCTCTTTTGTACAGTACAGTCTATGTTAAGTGGACCTGATTAAATGGGCAGTAAGTGTAGATACAAGGTAGATGTAGCTTATAAAGTGAGTGTATGCTGATATATGTTCATTCACTGATCAATTTCAGCAGGTCAGAAGACAAATTCATGACTGTACTCGTTCTCATTCGTACAAAAAAGCCTTTTGTACTTCTGCCAGGTCTAAATCCAAAGCTGTTCATGTGTCACTGAAGTGAAACAATTACCTGCTCAATTATACAGCTGCTATTTTCAAACCATGCAGGGTTAATGAAATAAAACTAAGGATAAACTAAGCATCCGCTGTTTAACACAGTCAGAAAGACAGCTCGCAAAACAGACGCTTGTCTTCGGAGAGGGACTCTCCTGTGTCCATGGAAACAGCAGAATATTCCAGAGAGATGTCAGGATTTCATTCGGTTATTTATTTATTTTTGCTTCGGCAGCCACAGCGACCCATCAGAGAGAGAGAGAGAGAGGGAGAGAGTGAGAGAGTGAGAGAGTGTGTGTCAAAAATGATGTCACGCTCGTGTGTTTGACTGCGTAGGTCATTATGCTGTTGCTGTCTGGGGGGACGGGGGGTCTCCACTACAGGACGCTGTCACACTAAAACACAAATCCAACCAGAAAAATAGAGCTGGAAAGTAAACAAATCTGTGAATGTGGCCTTAAATTGGTTCCTCTTCCTTTTGTTTTCCTCCCCAATAAAGCTCCCTAAGCTGTTCCCTTAAAGTGATAGTCTGGTGAAAAACCAAATTTACACAATAGCCCACAATAGTCTGGGCTGAAACACCCCTTTATAACTTCAGTCTGAGTGGGTGGGGCTTAACTGATGTGTATATGGATATGTGTAACTCGGTTCTCATGACCACAAAACTATGACTTTAAATCGGGCTGTTTTTACAGTGGTGGTGATAGGAACAAGGGGTCGCCATGACTACAACACTAATTACATTTGTTTTTACTATCCCATTTTACTATCACATTTTATTTACTATCCAAAACCACCAGTGAACCTACACGAGTCTTCTGAGTTTTACCTGGAAATATATGGGTTTGGGGGGGTGGTTTGGGGGACGGGGGTCTACACTACAGGATGCTGTCACACTAAAACAGAAACCAATCAGAAAAATAGAGCTGGAAAGTAAACAAATCCGTGAATGTGGTCTTAAACTGGTTTGTCTTCCTTCCTCCTCAATGAAGCTCCCTAAGCTGTTCCCTTAAAGTGACAGTTCAGCAAAAAATCAAATTCACACAATGTAAATTGACAATATATATGACACACGCTTATCTTTTAGTAAATGTCTAAAAAGACATTTACTAAAACTATTACTAAACTGAAAATTAGCCATGAAAAAATGTCCTTAATTAACAGCAATAAAAATAAACACTAAATCAGAACCATAATGTCCACTGCAAAACTAGCTAAAATGAAATGAAATTACTGAGAAAAAAAATAGTTTTCAGCTTAAGTTTTAGTTTTTTCAGTGGTAATGAGAGCTTAGAAGTGTGTTTGTGTGTTTGGTCTTTAAGTAAAGCTGAAATCGAGCTGCTGTGTTCATTTTATTCATCACTTATCAAATACCTGCTTTCACAGCGTCCATCATAATACTGACAACTAAAACTGAAACACTAAATAAAAACTAAACTAAAACTATTAACGCTTCCTTAAAACCGACTGAAACTAAACTGGAATCAAAAACCAAAATGCAAAACTAAATAAAAATAACTAATGAAAATTTCACAACTATAATAATTCTGGAAGAGGGGGCTGGTAAACTGAGTGGTGACAGGTGGGCTACAGTGGTGCGTATACCTGATAAAATGGCCAATGATTGACAGGTGTACCTAATAAACTGGACACTCAGCGCGGATCCCGGGTGCTGTAGCCGTGTGTGCTGATGAGTGGACAGCTGAGTGGGCAGTAGCTGTGTGTGCGACAGCACCAGGGAAATTAAACACGACCTCATCAAATTAATCTGACACTGAAATGATCACAGCACAAGAGCTCACACAGATCCACAGATCCCTTCTCCAGCTCCGCCGGATCCCTCTCTCATTCCTGCACACATCCCTTCTTCAGTCATCTCCATATTCCTCTGTTCAATCCTCATAATATCCTGTGTTTAGGTCCCCTTCTAAGTTCTTTCTTAGCGCTCCCCATATTGCTTTATCAATCCTCCTTCTGTTCCCTGTAGTCCTGCTCTTAATTCTATCCATGTGGCAGCAGACGAGCAGTCGGCTCTAACTTCACGTCTTCAAGGTCTATAAACAGAGTGGGTTGCCAAACAGAGTATATACTCCAGCAACACATACTCCATTTTTAACTCTCCCATATTCATAATTCTTGCCATATTCCATTTTCAATCCTCCATATACACCTTTTTTCAATTCTCCCTATATGCCTTTATCAAATTCTCTCCATGTTCCATTTTCGATTTTTCCTATATTCCTTTTTTCAATTCTCTCCATATTCCTTTTCTTGGTTTCCTCATTCCTTTCCTTGCTGAACTCTCTGCAGGCGTCAGTCCTACAGAAACCTGCTGCTGTACAGATGAAGAGCAGGACCCTCAGCGCTGCTGTAGTGATTGTCACTCTCACACTTCAGGCGTCTGACAGCCCCGTGTTAAAGATGCAGTCGTGTTCTTGCGTAAGGCCTTACATAATGTGCATGTTGCTGCTAAACACAGGCTGAAAACAAACAAGCAGATCTAGCAGATTTAGGGGTGTGGAGCTCTGGAGAAGCAGAAAACTAGTATATACATTATATATACACATACACTCACTACACTCACTGTATATATGAATATATGATATATACACTGATTGATAATACATACTATATATATATATATATATATATATATGATGTATATGCTGATTGACTGTATATACTACATTCTTCTGCGTTCACACAGTTAAAGCAGCGTTACAGGATTACTGAAGGTGATGAAAACATTCTGAAGAAGCTTATTTTGTCCACAAATCTCTCTTTAGATCAAATATGAGCGGGTAAGTCAAATGTGATAAATCACAGTTAACTGATCACAATTCATTATTTCAGTCATTTCACAGCCCTAATCAATACGTGTATCTGTGTGTGATGGTGAATGGTCAGAGTTCTGAGGCAGTTCTGCAGTGTTCCAGATGTTTACAGCCCTGAGAACGTTTCTGTATCAGTAACGCAGTTCAGCAGCTCCACCAGTCACTGAAATCCTTCATCTCTCTCTCTCTGTCTTTTTCACTCTCTCTCTACCTCTTTCCTTCTTTTTTTCTCTCTTTCTTTTTCACTCTCTCTCTACCTCTTTCCTTCTTTTTCTCTCTCTCTGTCTTTTTCACTCTCTCTCTACCTCTTTCCTTCTTTTTCTCTCTCTCTTTCTTTTTCACTCTCTCTCTACCTCTTTCCTTCTTTTTTTCTCTCTCTTTCTTTTTCACTCTCTCTCTACCTCTTTCCTTCTTTTTTTCTCTCTCTTTCTTTTACACTGTCTTTTTCACTCTCTCTCTGTCTTTTTCACTCTCTCTCTCTCTCTCTTTCACTCTCTCTTTCACCCTCCTCTCTCTCTCTGTCTAGCTCTCTTTCTTTCTCTCTCTCTCTACATCTCTCGCTCTCTCTCTCTGTGGTGGGGTGTTTACTGTGATAATCCAGCTGTTAGTGTGATGGTGTAGATCAGGGAGAGGGAGTAGAAGGAGAGGGAGAGAGAGAGATAAAGTAGAGAGAGAGAGAGAGAGACATGGCTCAGATCTTGACAGGATGGACGTCTTCAAAGACTCAGTCAGCCAGATTTGTCCTGTCACAGAGAGACACAGAGCTGTACAGCACTCAGAGCTGGAGAACAGCTGCTGAGCGACTGGGTGGAGAACACAGGCCGAGTACCTGATGATGTACGTTCGCTGTCATCTGTCCAGTTTTTCTGTTTTTCTTACTTTCAAACGGTGTTCTAAAGCTCAGGGCCTCCACTCTCATACCCTAAACATTCAAATCCTTCTTTAGTTAAAACACCACCACACTGTCCCCTGTCCAGTCTGAGTCTCCCAAACTGATCACAACCTCCAGAGAAAATGGGGCTCCTAACAACCACCTGGAAGACCTGGTAGACACCAAAACTGCTCCTTCAGATAAACAGCACTTACAGCTTTCACAGCACTAAACACTAAAACTGAAACATCTGATCATATTTAGTTGTTGAGACTTCTGTGTAAATATATACTTTAAAAAGATGGCTCTTAGAAGGTTCTTTAATAAAGGCAATGGTTCCGTTTAGAACCATGGGTTCTGTCTTGAACCATTTCATGCTTTAATGGTTCTTTGCACTGTGGAATGGTTCTTCAGACTAATAGAACAACCTTTTTGTGGTGCTATATAGAACCACATACAACACATTCTCCATCCATCTGAAGAACCATTTCACCATGCAGAGAACCATTTAAGCAGAACATGGTTCAAAACAGAGCCCATGGTTCTAAATTACCATTGGTCTCTGAGCTTTACCGTGTTGTGATGTATTGCAGCTACAGGTGTACTCACCACACTATTCCCTGAGCCCCAGAACCGATGGGCTTGAGGTTCTGGTACCGTTTGAGAACCGTGAAGGTGGAATCTCCTACTTCCACGCTGTAGAACTGGTTGTCCACTTTGCTCTTGCTCATGTTGTAATGCTTGGCGATGTAAGACACATCAACTTGTTTACCGAACCCCTGGGAGAACACAAGAGGAACATCTGATGAGCTTCACTGAGAGTTATGAGATCATTTCAACATCACAAAGCAGTTAATCACAAACCGACTCGTTAGGCCTCGTGATTAAGCGGCCGGGGTGTTGATTAGGAGAACGTTTAGCATAAAATCTCAAAAGTTTCAGGATTGATAGCAAAGAAATACAAAACAGAACGTTCTTCAGTCTTGAGGGAACGTGCGCTGAGGACGAGGATGCACATATGTGAGACAGATTAGAGCTGGGCGATACGGCAGAACGTCACTTCACGATACTTCAGGAGGTTTTTACAACACGATAAGTCACGATATTCATCTCTTCTGACATCTAATAAGTTGGCAAAGACAAAGTGAGGCCACATTTTAAAAATACACTAAAAATGGTTCTTCAAGGGTTCCTTAGCAAAGAAAATGGTTCTGAATAAGCATAAACACTCACTACAAAGAATCTATATGGTCCTGTATAGCACCAAAAAGGGTTCTGCTATTGTTACAAGCTTGGCATTGTAACCATCTACAGCACATTCTCCATCACTCTAAAGAACCCTTTCACCTTGCAAAGAACCATTTCATGCTTTAAAGGTTCTTTGCATTGTGGAATCGTTCTTCAAACTGATGGAGAATGTGTTGTATATGTTTCTATATAGAACTTTTCAAGAGTATAATAATAGAACAACCTTTTTGTGGTGCTATATAGAACCACATAACACATTCTCCATCAATCTGAAGAACCATTTCACCATGCAAAGAACCATTTAAGCAGAACATGGTTCAAAACAGAGCCTATGGTTCTAAATTACCATTGGTCTCTGACTTTTCCAGTGTTGTGATTTGTAATGGTTCTGTATAACCATAAACACTCAAAGAACCCTTTGCATGATTAAAGGGTTCTTTGCATCGTGAAATGGTTCTTCATATTGATGGAGAATGCGCTGTATATGGTCCTGTATAGCACCAAAAAGGGTTCTGCTATTGTTACAAGCTTGGCGTTGTAACAATCTACAGCACATTCTCCATCACTCTAAAGAACCCTTTCACCATGCAAAGAACCATTTAAGTATGGTTCTTTGGGTGTTCATGGTTCTATATAGACTCAGACTGGTGGAGAATGTGCTGTATGTGGTTCTACATAGCATCAAAAAAAGTATTGCTTGTCATCGTAAGAATGAAAGAGTCCTCTTTGGTGCTAAACAGAACCGTTTTCAAAAAGGTTCTACACAGAACCATATACAGTACGTTCCCCATCAATCTGAAGAAATATTTCACTGTGCAAAGAAGCATTTAATCTTTGAGTGTTCATGATTCTATATTGAGTTATTTTCTTTAGTAAAGTTTTTTCTTTTCTTTATTAAAACTGAATTTAATTATTTGTATTCAGAATTTTACACACTGTGCTGCACTAAATCCAGTTAAACAGGACTAATCAGACTCTCTGATCAGATAGTTTGTGTTTTTAAGCACTGACAATATTCATAAAATCCTCAGAAAAGCACTTCGAGACATACCGTGATGTAATTTATCACAATAATAATAAACACTGTCATATTGCCCAGCTCTACAGGAGATGAACAGGTATAAATGTGAGGACTCAGAGTGAGGAGACATTAGCAAACACTGCAGAAACACAAACAACAGTACATTCAGGACAACCCTCGGTCAAGATAAGAGTGGACAACATGGTAAAAATATAACATTATGACACAAAGATATTTTTAAGATTTTATTTTGGAGGTCTGCACACAAGTTGGTCATTTTTACATAAAAAATGGAAAAAATACCACTTTTCATTAAATAAAAGCCTTTATTAAAACATGGCTGTGGACACATTTGGGCCTGAGCCTTCAAAGAGAGTCACAACACAAACTTTACACAGGAGCTGTAAACACCTTCAGTTCATTAGTCACATGACGCTGGACGTCCAGGTGATTCACAAATATCAAAGTTACGTAAACAACACATTAAAAAAACTGTATACAAAAAGCAAACAGCGATATCAATATCATATAATATTCTAAGCGTGTTATTTACAAACTGGAATGTCCACAATGTCATTTTTTATACTGGCAGAACTGAGAGGCGCCTGCAAGATCGCTTGGCAGAGCATTGAGGTCTTTTGAGTGTTCAAGGTTCCATATAGAACCATTTTATTTTCCAAAGAAGCCTTGGAGAACCACCTTTTTTTAAGAATGGAAAGGAAATGGAGAACAGACACGTAACCAAAAGACTTTTTGGACTTTTAAGTTAAAAGTGACTGTTTTTTTCCTGCTTTTCAGTCCATTTTTATAGGCCTATAGTGAGATTGGCGCCCTCTAGAGTCTAGTTTAGAGATACTGACCTTGTGACCGTAGATCTTTTACATAAATTTGGTATTGATATCAGTGTTTGTTTTTTCTATATTGTTTTTTTTTTGTATAATATTTTGTTTGTCTCAGTCATCAGGCAGTGAATTCATAACCATTTCATGTAGGAACTTTCTGTGAGGGAGCTTTTAGAGGTGGACGTCTGGTTCCTATCACCACCACTGTGAACAGTTCTGACTCGGTACGTTTATCTAGAACAGAGCGTTTCACACCAAACCACTCTGAACCTCTCTGATTACATCTTACCCACTTAATGATGGAGGAAATTTGAAAGATCAGTTCCCCTTTAAGGTGTTTCCATGTGTCACGGTTCATCTCAGCAGCTTTGATCTTAAGAACGGATCCACTCGATTGAAGACAGAGCCGACACTGACATTTATGGGAGTTAATTTGAGCAGCTATTTGCACAGGAAGAGGAACAACCTCACCATCACCAACCATCCACACAGAAATAACAGACAAACACAGTCTATTTACTCAGCACTGAGACTTCAATTCAGCCAAATGTAATGTCAACAAGCCAGAGGGAGAGAGAGAGGGAGAGAGAGTGAGACAGAGGGAAAGAGGGGGAGAGAGAGGGAGAGAGAGAGGGAGAGAGAGAGGGAGAGAGAGAGGGAGAGAGAGAGAGGGAGAGAGAGAGAGGGAGAGAGACAGAGAGAGGGAGAGAGAGAGAGAGACAGAGAGAGAGAGAGAGAGAGAGAGAGAGAGAGGGAGAGAGACAGAGAGAGGGAGAGAGAGAGAGAGACAGAGAGAGAGAGAGAGAGAGAGAGAGAGAGAGGGAGAGAGAGAGGGAGAGAGAGAGAGGGAGAGAGAGAGAGGGAGAGAGACAGAGAGAGGGAGAGAGAGAGAGAGACAGAGAGAGAGAGAGAGAGAGAGAGAGAGAGAGGTTCACATTCTTTTATAACCTGGTAACAAATATTTGACTCTAATTGAAATGAACTCCATTAACTCCTTCATCTCGTCTCAGTTCTCATCATTTACACGATGCTTTAGAACCTCTGTGTGTTTATATTGTCACGTCAGCAAAGCATATTTGAATGAACTGAATTAAATTGAGAGAGAGAGAAAGAGTGAGAGAGCAAAGAAAAAAAGAGAGAGAGAGCTGTAAGTTTTATCACAATGCCCCGTCTAATAACAGCTGCTATGATTATTTAAAAAATTCATTTAACACAATCCAGCTTTGACCTCATCTCCCTTTTACTGGACATCACAATAATCTCAGCAGCACTTTAGGGACTTTATTTAATCCATCCGATCATGTTTTCTTTATCACTTTAAAAAACACATTAATGGGTGTGTTTACATACACTTAATAATCTGATAACTGCAGAAAATCAGATTTTGTCAGTAAGGCTGTGTTCAGACTGCAGGCAAATCAGATTTGTTTCCTAGCTTAGATCTTTTGAGAAGACTGTCTGTTTACACCTGGTCACTTCATCTGTCCTCAGTATCAGGATTATATCTGGATGAGGCCACATAGAAATGAAAAGATACAGATACAGATCTGATCACTCAAACCATATCAGGAGGTTGTTATAGCATGTTATACATGTTGTAGTAGCATAAACACATTCGTCTCTCCAAGACACATTCAACAACCGAAACTAAACAACTGAAACTCCTCCCAATACATCCGAAACTCCTCCCAGTACAACCGAAAGTCCTTTTGGTACAACTGAAACCCCTCCCAATACATCCGAAACTCCTCCCAATACAACCGAAACTCCTCCCAGTACAACTGAAAGTCCTCTTGGTACAACTGAAACTCCTCCCAGTACAACCGAAAGTCCTCTTGGTACAACTGAAACTCCTCCCAGTACAACCGAAAGTCCTCTTGGTACAACTGAAACTCCTCCCAGTACAACCGAAAGTCCTCTTGGTACAACTGAAACTCCTCCCAGTACAACTGAAAGTCCTCTTGGTACAACTGAAACTCCTCCCAGTACAACCGAAAGTCCTCTTGGTACAACTGAAACTCCTCCCAGTACAACCGAAAGTCCTCTTGGTACAACTGAAACCCCTCCCAATACATCCGAAACTCCTCCCAGTACAACCAAACTCCTCCCAATACAACCGAAACTCCTCCCAGTACAACTGAAAGTCCTCTTGGTACAACTGAAACCCCTCCCAGTACAGCCAAAATTCCTCGCAGTACAACCAAAAATCCCGCCCAGTACAATCAAATGACCAGAATCGAGTGGCCGGAATACCAACACGTTCTCTGCCCTCACTGTGACGTCAGCACTCACACCTCAAAACTGATGTGTTTAAACCACATGTGGGTCGAAAAAGTTTCAAACTGAGCTTTTAAGAAAGTTTAGAAAACAAATGACAATTTTTATAAACCTTCTCTTCCCACACAGACACACACCTTGAAGCTGAGAGTTGGAGATTAATGTAAACGAAAGAGCTGCTTTATGATCACTAAACCTTTAAAGTGAGTTTTCTTACTCAATTAAAATTTAACAACGAGAAAATTCAAGAAGCCAAGGTGTCCCCAAACGTCTGACAGGCAGGCAGTGCACACTATAGCACATGAGAGAACTGTAGAACATCCTACAGAAGAACACGGCTTCACTCTGGGGCTTTGGGTGAAGCTCTTCACTGCATGGAGCTCAGAGAAGA